TATATCTCCGATTTCATTTCCGCCATGATAGATTTTCCGCCATTTTGAATTTTGTCGAAAAACTACTTTTGCAAACTAGTCCCTGGATTTTTGCCCGATCGGAACCAAACCAGTGCAGAAATGTTCTCTGGAGTCTGAAGATCAATAATTATCAAAAAAATGTTGAAATTTCTCGTTCCGGTCGCTAGGGGAAGCAAAATAAACGTTGTGGGAGGAGCCTATTTTACTAAAATGGCTATAGCTCGAGAAGTAAATGAGATATCTTCACCAAACTCGGTACACATGTGTAAGAGTTCAATTTGAGGTGACAGTAAAAAAATCGCGACGATTGAACACTAGGTGGCGCTATAAAATGAAAAAAACAGATAAACACCTGACCGTCAGTCCGATTGACTTGAAAATTGGTATGCAGTGTCTTGGTCCAAGGCCTCATGTATGTGTATGAGGACATTGGTGTATCTCAAAAAACATGGCCGCCATCGGCCAATGAAGTTTGAGCATCTATGAAACAAGGTTAACGAAGGCCGATCGGAACGAAACTCGTTGGGAATGTTCGACTCATGGCCCTAGAGGTCTGTAAGAATTTTGAAAGAAATCGGCCACTAGTTGGCGCTAACGAGTTTTATTGCTCTGTAATCACGTGGTGTTGCACACACCCCCACAAAATGTATATCAATTGATAGATCTCCTCATGATGAACAACTTTGCCTCAAGAACCATTGCTGTCAATCAAATCGTTCGTTAAATATTCACGAATATGTTAAAAACCTACTTTTGCAAACTAGTCCCTGGTTTTTTGCTCGATCGGAACCAGACCAGTCTAGGATAATTCTCTGGACTCTCTAGATCAATAATTATCAAAAAAAAGTTGAACTTTGTCTTTTGTTTTGCTATAACAGGGTCATTTACAAAAGGGGACATGACAAAATGCACCCAAAAGCCTATAAATCCTAAAGGAAAAGTCAGAACTTCACAAAAATTGATGAGCACATGTGTCATAGCTTATTCAACAAGCATGCAAAGTTTCATGGAGATCGGACTATAGGTGGCGCTATAATTGTTAAAAATGTTAAAAACAATATATACCCTATGGTAAATTGCCATTATTGAAACTTAAAACTTAATGTCTTTTGATGCTTTTGTGCTTAAAGGCCTTCAAGGCCTAAACTGCTTGAACCCCGCTAAATGCTGCTTGCAGCTTTAATTATTATTATTATTATTCTCCCCTAAAACGCATCGTGCAGCCCAAACCGTAAGTGCTAGAGCTCTGAAACTTTGTCAGATGGTAGTACAAAAATCGAGGAGAGGTTATCAAATTATGAGCCCGATTGGCCCATAGGTGGCGCTATAGCGACCAATTGCGCGAAACGGCTCATAACTCCTAGACCGTAAGTCGTACACTCAAGTGTCTTATATCATTGGAAAGCTGGTCACCTGACGAAAAAAACGTATATCTCCGATTTCATTTCCGGTATGGAAATTTTTCCGCCATTTTCAATTTTGTCGAAAAACTACTTTTGCGAACTAGTCCCTGGTTTTTTGCCCGATCGGAACCAAACCAGTGCAGAAATGTTCTCTGGAGTCTGACAATCAATAATTATCAAAAAAATGTTGAAATTTCTATTTCCGTTCGCTAGGGGAAGCAAAATAAACGTTGTGGGAGGAGCCTATTTTACTAAATTGGCTATAACTCAAGAAGTAAATGAGATATCTTCACCAAACTCGGTACACATGTGTACGAGTTCAATTTGAGGTCACAGTAAAAAAATAGCGACGATTGAACACTAGGTGGCGCTATAACATGAAAAAAACATAAAAAGGGCTATGACCACATGACCGTTAGTCCGATTGACTTGAAAATTGGTATGCAGTGTCTTGGACCAAGGCCCCATGTATATCTATGAGGACATTGGCGTATGTAAAAAAACATGGCCGCCATCGGCCAATGAAGTTTGAGCACCTATGAGACAAGGTTAACGGAGGCCGATCGGAATGAAACTCGATGGGCATGTTCGACTCATGGCCCTAGAGGTCTGTAAGAATTTTTAAAAAAATCGGCCACTAGTTGGCGCTAACGAGTTTTATGGCTCTGTAATCACGTGGTGTTGCGCATATCCCCACAAAATGCATATCATTTGATAGATCTCCTCATGATGAACAACTTTGCCTCAAGAACCATTGCTGTAAATCAAATCGTTCGTTAAATATTCACGAATATGTTAAAAACCTACTTTTGCAAACTAGTCCCTGGTTTTTTGCTCGATCGGAACCAGACCAGTCTAGGATAATTCTCTGGACTCTCTAGATCAATAATTATCAAAAAAAAGTTGAACTTTGTCTTTTGTTTTGCTATAACAGGGTCATTTACAAAAGGGGACATGACAAAATGCACCCAAAAGCCTATAAATCCTAAAGGAAAAGTCAGAACTTCACAAAAATTGATGAGCACATGTGTCATAGCTTATTCAACAAGCATGCAAAGTTTCATGGAGATCGGACTATAGGTGGCGCTATAATTGTTAAAAATGTTAAAAACAATATATACCCTATGGTAAATTGCCATTATTGAAACTTAAAACTTAATGTCTTTTGATGCTTTTGTGCTTAAAGGCCTTCAAGGCCTAAACTGCTTGAACCCCGCTAAATGCTGCTTGCAGCTTTAATTATTATTATTCTCCCCTAAAACGCATCGTGCAGCCCAAACCGTAAGGGCTAGAGCTCTGAAACTTTGTCAGATGGTAGTACAAAAATCGAGGAGAGGTTATCAAATTATGAGCCCGATTGGCCCATAGGTGGCGCTATAACAACCAATTGCGCGAAACTGATCATAACTCCTAGACCGTAACTCGTACACTCAAGTGTCTTATATCATTGGAAAGCTGGTCACCTGACGAAAAAAACGTATATCTCCGATTTCATTTCCGGTATGCAAATTTTTCCGCCATTTTGAATTTTGTCGAAAAACTACTTTTGCAAACTAGTCCCTGGTTTTTTGCCCGATCGGAACCAAACCAGTGCAGAAATGTTCTCTGGAGTCTCTAGATCAATAATTATCAAAAAAATGTTGAAATTTATCTTGCCGGTCGCTAGGGGAAGCAAAATAAACGTTGTGGGAGGAGCCTATTTTACTACAATGGCTATAGCTCGAGAAGTAAATGAGATATCTTCACCAAACTCGGTACACATGTGTAAGAGTTCAATTTGAGATCACAGTAAAAAAATCGCAACGATTGAACACTAGGTGGCGCTATAAAATGAAAAAAACAGATAAACACCTGACCGTCAGTCCGATTGACTTGAAAATTGGTATGCAGTGTCTTGGTCCAAGGCCTCATGTAAGTCTATGAGGACATTGGTGTATCTCAAAAAACATGGCCGCCATCGGCCAATGAATTTTGAGCATCTATGAAACAAGGTTAACGAAGGCCGATCGGAACGAAACTCGTTGGGAATGTTCGAATCATGGCCCTAGAGGTCTGTAAGAATTTTGAAAGAAATCGGCCACTAGTTGGCGCTAACGAGTTTTATTGCTCTGTAATCACGTGGTGTTGCACACACCCCCACAAAATGTATATCAATTGATAGATCTCCTCATGATGAACAACTTTGCCTCAAGAACCATTGCTGTCAATCAAATCGTTCGTTAAATATTCACGAATATGTTAAAAACCTACTTTTGCAAACTAGTCCCTGGTTTTTTGCCCGATCGGAACCAGACCAGTCTAGGATAATTCTTTGGACTCTCTTGATCAATAATTATCAAAAAAAAGTTGAACTTTGACATTTGTTTTGCTATAACAGGGTCATTTACAATAGGGGGCGTGACAAAATGCACCCAAAAGCCTATAAATCCTAAAGGAAAACTCAGAACATCCCAAAAATTGATGAGCATATGTGTCATCACATCATTAACAAGCATGCAAAGTTTCATGGAGATCAGACTATAGGTGGCGCTATAACTGTTAAAAATGTTAAAAACAATGTATTTCCTATGGTAAATTGCCATTATTGAAACTTAAAACTTAATGTCTTTTGATGCTTTTGTGCTTAAAGGCCTTAAAGGCCTAAACTGCTTGAACCCCGCTAAATGCTGCTTGCAGCTTTAATTTCATGTGGTTCTTCTCCCTCGCTGTATTATGGGTTTGCTATGTGGGGAGAATGTGCTGGTTACGTTTGTGAGACAATCAGCTGATTATTATATTATATTATATTATACTATGGCTTTGTAAACTTCATCCATGATGTGGTTTATAATAGACTGTGGTACAGAAACAGTGACAATGTAACACACTTCTGGCTTACTCTGGCTATTCTCTGCTGTCTCGACGATATGTTTGTCTCGTTTTAACCACCGTAGCTTCATCGAATGGGAGGGGTGAGCAGTGCGCTGAGCCCTTAGTGCAAACTCCCAACTGAACCACTAGATGTCGCTAAAAATCACACACTGCACCTTTAAAATTGCTACTTCTATAAATAACATTAGTGAAAAAGAAAGGTCACAACTTAATGTAGTTTTGACTGTTCATTAGTTACTTCTTAGTTATTTTTCTTGAACCTTAATTAGTAGATAATTAGTAGTAGCCTAGTTCTGCAGGAGGTATGATAGAATTCATTAGTTCCCTTTCGTAGTCACTCCGAGTTACATCGGATGACAAGAATGGGGTTTCGCCAAGAAAGTCAATCATCTTCAAGTATTATAAAAAGAGCCAATGGCGATGAAATGCCATGGGTCTGCAGAATTTGCATAGCATATCTCCGCCCTACCGCATGGGTATTTGGGACTTGAGGGTGACCATGTGGAACAATCCAACGATACGTCCTCGGAACACGCCCCCCTCTGCAGTATTGCAACCCGTGAGTGCCGTGGTGATTCAGGCGGGTCCATCTACGGATGCCCCGCGTGTTTCATTTGGCGCTCCAGAGGATGACTCAATGTCGATCGCGGCATCACAAGGCGGGCAGGAGTCCTCGGGAAGTGATGATGCGGCTGCGTTGCCTACCTCGGGAGTGCCAGAGTTACCCGTGTCAGATCCCAAGATGACGGCCATGCTTTCCTGGGCCGCTGTGAGCATCGGGCTAGAGTGGAACCCTCCGCCCTGCCCAGAGCGCTCACGGTTGGATGATGACAATGGTTTTTGGGCGCCCCAACCCCAATTCTATTCTTCCCGGAAGGGCATTAGGAGCTGTCGAAGTCATGGAAGGCTCCATTGACCTCCCGAGAACGAGTTTCCAGGCATGTTGTTGTCTCCACAGATGCCTCTGCCATGTGCAATGGCCATGCTGCCGCGGGCTCCTGGACAGGACTCCAGCGTCGCCTGCATGTCAATTGCCTTGAGTTGCTGGCAGTACACCTTGCCCTGCACCGTTTCCACACGTTGCTCAAGGGTCAACATGTACTAGTCCGTTCAGACAATACCAAGACAGTAGCATACATCAACCATCAAGGTGGTCTACGCTCCCGCCGTTTGTCGCAACTCGCACGCCACCTTCTCCTATGAAGTCAGAAGCACCTTCGTGCTATTTACATTCCAGGAGATTGGAACCTTGCAGCCAACGAGCTGTCACGGTTACGGCCCTTCTCCAGCGAATGGTGACTCCATCCCCAATTGGTTCAGCTGATTTGGGAACAGTTTGGCGGCACACAGGTAGACCTGTTTGCCTCCCACGAGCACAGCTGGCCGCAGTATGCGTAGGCCCCCAGTGAGCCTTCTCGCACGGACCCTGTGCAAGATCAAGGAGGACGAGGAGCAGGTCATTCTGGTTGCGCCGCACTGGCCCACACGGACCTGGTTCTTCAAACTGATACTCCTCGCGTAGTAGGAAGGACCTCCTTTCTCAGAGACGGGGCACCCTCTGGCACCCTCGTCCCGATCTTTGGAGCACCTGCGGTGGCGGCTACCATCACTTCCGCTAGAGCATCGAGAAGACCCCAGGAGATGCTTGATCAGTGTCGTACTTTCCTTCCTGCAAGATGGGTTGGAGTGAAGGCTGTCTCCCTCCACCCAGAAGGTGTATGTGGCCGCTATCGCCGCATATCACAAAGCAGTTGAAGGTAAGTCTCTGGGGAAGCACGACCTGATCGTCAGGTTCCTGAGAGGAGCGAGGAGACTGAATCCTCCTCGCCCTTCTCTCGTTCCCTCTTGGGACCTCTCAGTGGTTTTAAATGCCCTGCAGAGGGCTCCCTAGGCCTCTGCAATCAGTTGAGATTAAGTTCCTGTCAATAAAGACAGTGCTCCTGGTTGCACTGGGCTCCATCAAGAGGGTAGGGGACCTGCACACATTCTCCGTTGATGAAGCATGCCTGGAATTCAGGCCGGGTTACTCTCACGTGATCCTGAGACCCCGGCCTGGACATGTGCCCAAGGTTGCTACCACTCCCTTCCGGGACCAGGTAGTGAACCTGCTTGCGCTGCCCCTGGAGGAGGCAGACCCAGCCTTGCCACTGCTCTGTCCAGTACGTCCGTGCCACTTCCGCTGTACCGCTGGGTAGATGCCTGAGTTCAGTCTTGGCTCCTCAGTGAAGACATAACTGCCTTTGCGTCTGCATTTACCTTAAATACCCACGCGGTGGGGCAGAGATATGCTATGCAAATTCTGCAGACCCATGGCATTTATTTCATCGCCTTTGGCCTGTTTTATAATACTCGAAAATGATTGGCTTTCTAGGCGAAACCCCATTCGTCTCCGTTCCCTACTCAGGGAACGAGGGTTACATACGTAACCGAGACGTTATTGATTTACTGATACTTAATACGATCATAAAATTAGGGATGCACCGAATATTCGGCCGCCGAAAGAAAGACTTTTATCACCAAAACAATACGGCCGAAATGTTGTGATGACGCAAACAGAAACCGCGACCTGCACGTGCTTGTCTGAAGCAACATGTCTGTGGTGTGGACGTATTTCAGTGTATCTGAACCCGCGATGAGACGGAAACCTTGTTTATCCACCTATATCTGCTCTAAACAATGCGCGCCGCCATTACAACGACTTCTGTTGCGAGAGGGTCAAGAGCGGTGAGCGCGCTGTCTGTGGAGACTCGCGCTGCGGAGGCAGGCGAAAGTATAAACAAGGCAGCGCGAGTCTCCACAGACAGCGCGCTCACCGCTCTTGACCCGCTCGCAACCGGAGTGGTCGTCATGGCGGCACGCATTGTTTAGAGCAGATATAGGTGGATGAAACAATTAAAAATTATAAATAAGACTCGCGCTGCAGAGGCAGGCGAAAGTAAACAAGGCAGCGCGAGTCTCCACAAACAGCGCGTGCACCGCTCCAAACGGTCGAGGCGTTTATACTTGACGCGCTCTCCGTTGTACTATTCCTTGAAACGACAGGGGACGACTCAAGTAACTGTCCTCTAACCATCGGGAATCGGTGAGAAGAAGACAGATAAATACATGACAATGTTTATTTTTTAGTATTCCACCACCAATACAAAAATAATCATGTAAAACCCAGTAAACCCTGAGATTATTACTTGTGACATTACAAAAAAAATATGTATATGGGAACATGTATGTATAGAACTAAATTAATGCTCTCTTAAATATTTTCTACATTCACTAAACATGTTTCATTAAGTTTCATGTACATTTGTATTAAACATGGACCATTGTTCATTTAAAAAGGCTTGTTATGCTATTGTATGCTAAATTTTTTAAAATTTAACTAATTTAGACATGCAAACTGAGTGCTAGTGTGATGAGAAGTTTGCGCTTGGCTTTGTTTTTGAGAGAACATTTCATTTTAAAACCTTTCTGCAGGCCAGTAGATTATTATTTAGTGTACACATGAGTGGGGTCCAGTTAAACATTTTAGTTTGAATTTTATTTTATACTGTGCATTGTGCTAAATAAATATTTGCATAATTTGTAATTGATTTATTCTTTGAAAATGTTATATTAATTTATGCAATTGCAATGCCTTGATTTTAGTAAAGTTTGTACACAGTCGTAGCCATAAATGCAATGATACTAATAATTGGCATAATTTCTTTCGGTGTTTCGGTTTTCGGTTTTCGGCCTTGGTTTCCTCTTTTTCGGTTTTCGGTTTCGGCCAAGAATTTTCATTTCGGTGCATCCCTACATAAAATTATATTACATACTGATTAGTTAACACATCTTACTTAACAGTTAACAGTAGTGAAGAAGTAGTTTATGAAGAATTACCTATTAGTTCTTGAATAATTCCCTATTAGTTATGCAATAAGTAAGAAACAGTATTCTAAAGTGTTACCAACTCTTCTTCTAAAATGAATCCTTTTTTATTGCCTGTGTGTGAAGGGCTTGTAATCACACATTTGAATGATCCACTTGTCGGGTTTACAATTATCCACTTTGCTATTACCTCTGAAGGCCAGTTCCCTTTCGAAGGGAACTCAACAATACGTCGAATGACGCAATGGGGAACGCCTCAGGTGTGACAGGTCTCTGAAATCAAATATCAACTCACAGTAATCAGGTTGACCGGCGACAGCCCGTGCATCATCAGCTTGAATGATGAGCGCGTCAATCTGGATGTATAAGAAGGGCGCCTTGAAACCGTGACAACATCTTTTTCGTCTTCAGGGACTGTTTGTCTGTGTGATAGAATCAACGATTAAGCGCGCAGAGACGTGGAGAAACACTTTGCGTGAGTGTGCCGACTGGTGTCTAGATATTTGACACCGAAGGATTCACACGATCTGTGCGTGTTCTGCCTGAGAGAAAAGCATTCGCGGGAAGCTCTCGAGGGAGTTTTTTGCGCGAACTGAGAGTTTTCCTTTCAGAACTCTCTGCTCTCGTCTGACCCACTTCTCGAGGGAAGTGGGCGCGGCATCTGAACCCCGCGGTTCCAGTTCCCGCTCGGGCTGAGGCTCAGTGGCGGTTGAGCTCGTGGAGCTTTCAGATGGAGCTGGCAGATTATCGGGAGAGGGGCGTTAACCTCGCGGATGATCTACCAGCTGACGAGGGTGAGTTACAGATTAACGTTGAACATCTAAGAAGAGAGAAAATGAGCGCTCTCTCTCTTTGGTGAATCTGTAACTGTTCTCTTCGGGCAGGGCAGGAGTTGGCTGTAATATATATATATATATATATAGAGAGAGAGAGAGAGAGAGAGAGAGAAGGATGTCAGTTTGGTTGAATCCGTTCTCCTCACGTCTCTATCTGCATCAGCGGGCTAGTTTCGCTGCTGTGGAGGGAGCCGTGGAGCACGGATATGTGTCGATGCCGCCAGTGGACGAGACGTTGGCTAACTATCTCGTCTCTGGTTGGTCCTCTTCACTAAGAGCTCTGACCCTGTCATCCAAGCTGCTCAAGACATCTTCATGCTTGAATGACACGGCGTACACGGCAGCAGGTCAGGCAGGTGCGGTTCTGCACGCCCTTGTGGTCCTCAGGCCTACCAGACTGATCTGCTGTGGGACTCCGGGCCACCAAGCAATCTGCTGTTCCGTCGGTGCTATGGTGGCCACGGAGAGACATCTGTGGGAGCTCCCACATACTGTGGTTGCCGGGTTACAGGCCTCACCAGGCCTTCCTGGTTATGAGCTCCCACTGATTGTGGTCGCCAGGTTACAGGCCTCACCAGGCCTTCCTGGTTATGAGATCCCACATGCTGTGGTCGCTGGGTTACAGGCTTCACCAGGCCTTCCTGGTTATGAGCTCCCACATACTGTGGTCGCCAGGTTAATGGCCTCACCAGGCCTTCCTGGTTATGAGCTCCCACATATTGTGGTCGCCAGGTTACAGGCCTCACCAGGCCTTCCTGGTTATGAGCTCCCACATACTGTGGTCGCCAGGTTACAGGCCTCACTAAGCCTTCCTGGTTATGAGCTCCCACACATTGTGGTCGCTACGTTACAGGCCTCAAAGGGGCCTTCCTGGTTATAGTTCCCGCATACTGTGGTTGCCGGGTTACAGGCCTCACCAGGCCTTCCTGGTTATGAGCTCCCATTTATTGTGGTCGCCAGGTTACAGGCCTCACCAGGCCTTCCTGGTCATGAGCTCCCACATGCTGTGGTCGCTGGGTTACAGGCTTTACCAGGCCTTCCTGGTTATGAGCTCCCACATACTGTGGTCACCAGGAT